ATAAAGGTCCTGGTCTTGGAAACCAATAGTCATTCTTCACAAAGTGAAGGCTCGTGGAGCAGGACATGATCTGACAAGGTGTGTGTCTCTATGTGTGAGTGTCATATCATTTCAATTACTCCCCACATAGCCTAGCTCTAGTGAGTCCTTCATCATCTTCCACCTTCTAGGAACCATCTCTTCCCTTTGTATACAATTCAATACTTGGAGCATTAACTCCAAATGGTGTCTTTATTCACCAAGACAGGGGTTCCAAAACTATGGTCCATAGACCACCAGTGGTCTGCGAGCTTCATTCAGGCGGTCTGCAGCATGTTTGTGGATTTATACTTGAAGACAGGAGACAGCATATCGATCACATTAAAAATATTTATTTTTAATTGCTTCTTTTACTTCTTTTATTGTATAACCATATGAATTCCATGGAATACAATAGAATGCAATATATAAGAAATAAAACAAGCAATAAAAATACAACACAGCATCTAGTGCAACAATTGGAACAACAGCAGAAAAATCATTAAGTGGTCCTCCAAGCAGTTTTCAGCTGTGCCATGTGGGGTGCTGGTGGTCGGAGAACCACTACTCTATGAAGAATATTCCCGGTAATAGAGAATCTGCAGGCTTTTTGCAGATAGAAAAGACCCAGGAAACTTTATTTAGCTCGAAAAACTTTTATGCTAGTGAAAGTGGAACGCCTGCTCCAGAGAGCCCTCCATGCAGGAATTTCATTCCTAGGAAAATAGTGTATTATAATAGTCAACCCTGTAGATTTTGTCAGTTGGTTCTGAAAGTCACTCTATTGTCACCTTTTACATGACAGAATTCTTCATCTGTGGTGCTGAGAAAATGTGGGTATTCTTCAAATGCTCTTTGCAGTGAAGCCTGATGAATGGAATAGCTTTTTTTAAAGTCCCTTACTACTTCAGTGTTCTTCTAACACCTTTGCCATCTTCCCAGTGCTTGTCCAGTTGATTTCCTGCTTCTGATGCAAATTTCACTGCATGAACATACAGCTGATCACAGTGTGTGTGTGTGTGTGTGTGTGTGTGTGTGTCTGTGTTCAGATTTTTTTGTGTCTTACCTTACACCAAAGGTTTTCCATGCAGGAATTGCATGACAGTTGAAGCAACCTTCACTCTGAGAATAAGGTGTGGTTATTGTTCTTATTACTGCTGCCGCCACTATTGCTATTATAGCAATAATATTTAATATGCCACATTATTCAAAAAGGTGCACTGAATCCCTAAGGGATACGTAGCTTGGAGACTGGGGTTTCTGTGCACTTGTTAACCCTTCCCCAGGAACATCAATTTAAAATATGTACTGACAGTTATTCAAGTACAGCTCATCTCTTTAATACACCCTTCGTGAACCTCTCTTTCCATACTTTCCACACCTGCACAATCTGCACCTTAAACACACTTCACCCCCATTGATTTCTCTGTAGGCTCTTGCATCTTTCCTGGTCTTCTTCCACTCTTACTTCAAGCCAGGGGTGTGTGGAGTGATCCAATTGTGACCCCATGACCATGCGATTATTAAACCAGTCAATCAATTCCTGCCTAGATGGACTTCTTTCCACTACTACTTTCCTTGTATGTATGGAGGTATGATAGGCAAAGTAGTCTTAGAAGGAAGGTGGAATAACTTGCTCACTACATTTATTCTCTCTTCCTAACAAGAGCACACTAATTTGTCACCTGATCTCTGCCCCCACCCAATTGAAACGAAGATGTTCCTCACATGGTAGACCAAAGAAATTATAGAATAGGTGCGGTCAGTTCATTCTATGAGGGAATGCCATGCAAAACTCCTCTATGTCCATATTATTTCCTTTCCATTCTTGTTCAACACTAAAGCATTGAACTGAAAATAGAGGAACCTGCAGCAAAGAAGTACCATGAGTTTTAGGGATTGGGAATAAGCAGTATATGGAATAAGCAGTATATGGCACCCAGCTTTTATATTTTGTTATCTATGAAGCTAGAAATTGCTGCCTCTGTCCATAGCTAGTGTGTGAAGGTTGTGGTTAGATGGATGAGGCTTAATTAATGAACTGAGGCTTAATCGAGGTAAGACTAAAAGTGATGCTGATGGGAACTGGAGTGGCAGGTTTTCCTGTTGTGCTGTAGGACTCTTAAAGCAGGGATGCAGGCTGGTGCGCTCCGGGGTCAGTCAGACCTACTATGTCTATGATACACTGGCTGTACTTGTTTCTAGATGGTAAGAACCATTATCTGTCCCTTTGCTACTTCAGATAATAACAAAGACTGTGTTTGGTCTATATAGGTCTGTCCTTTCAGGCTGTTTGAAAGCTGTAACTAGTGTGGAATGCTTTAGCCTAGCTGCAAGTGAGTGTAGGCATGGAAACATTCCTGCATTTGCTTCTGAGGCAATTACAGTGGCTGCCAGTGAGTCTCCAAACCCAATTCAAGCTGTTTTTATTGACTTATATCAGGGATGGTCCAAAGTGCAACCCAAGGGCCACTTAAAGCCTCTTTTGGTGCCCCTCTGGGCATCTTTTGGCACCCCTCAGCAACATTTGACACCTTCCCCCTCCAGCCCTTGAGATGCCTCCCCAAAGCTGGGTAAGCAAAGTGCTGGGCTTGAGGAAGGAGGTGCGATGGCTCTGACAGGGTCCTAGAGTCCAGCCTTCTTCCCAAAGCCTAGTTAGGGCCTTCCCAGCTTTGGGAAGGAGATGGCGGGGGGCTCTAGGAGCCTCACACCTCCTCCCCAAAGCCTGCTGCCTTACTTAGCTAGCTTTGGGAAGGCAGCGTGAGGGCTGAGTGTGTGTGTCAGATTTTGGCCTTCTGCTCCCCACTCTTCAAGCAGCAAGGCAGTGTGCGGCCTGTGTTTTCTGTGCCAAAGTACTCTTGTGGCCCACTTGGTATGAAAGTTGGACCACCACGACCTATATATAGCCATTCACAGCCTACTTATCTCACAGGTGAAGTTATCTGGGGTACAAAGAAGCAGTTATTTAAAGTCACTGAATGTAGAAGTAAGAATTGTGTTGTAGCCTGGAGTGTAAGGAGGAAAAAAATTATCCCGATTGCTTTTGGTTAGATTTAGTTTTCATTGTACTGTACTTCTTTATTAAATACGTTGTGAGATGCCTTGAGCAAATGTGAAAAGGCCAAATACAGATGCTTTAAATAACAGTTTGACACCACTCATATTTATCAACCTGATTCTACACCGATTTTTTTTCTAAGCTATGAGAAAATACCTAGAATAGTGGTTTGTGGTCTGTGGATCTCTTAAAGGTGGTTTGCAGAGAGCAGGCCATTTTCACCAGAGTTCTTCTGACTTCCATTTTCAGCCTTGAGTGAAAAGGTGTACCTTTAGAACAGTGGTGTCCAAACTTTTTTCAAAGAAGCCCAGATTTGATGAAGTGAAGGGCCGTGAGGGCCGACCAAAGTTGTTAACCTTTTTTAGGATTGAAGTTGTTGAGCTTTTTTTTAAGGGTTGAAGTTGTTGGCCACAGGGGCCAGATTAAACTGACCGAAGGGCCGCATAACGCCCCCCAAATGGACTTTGGACTTGCCTGCTTTAGAATATCTCCAGGAGTTACTTTGAATAGTGTAAGCAGCTGCATTAAGGCCATACAAATGTACATTTTTGAACCCAGAAGAACTCCTGAGATTAGAGCAGGGTTCAGCAACCTTTTTCAGCCGTGGGCTGGTCCACCGTCCCCTCAGACCATGTGGGGAGCTGGACTACATTTTGAAGAAAATAAAATGAACGAATTCCTGTGCCCCACAAAATAACCCAGAGATGCATTTTAAATAAAAGGACACATTCTACTCATGCAAAAGCACGCTGATTCCCAGACCGTCCGTGGGCTGGATTGAGAAGGCGATTGGGTCGCACCCGGCCCACGGGCCTTAGGTTGCCTACCCCTGGATTAGAGCCTTTGTTGTGTAAAGAATGCTGAGAATCATTATGACCCTCAACATCCTCACAGAACTCCTGTTCTACTGATTTAAGGTGATGGTGGGAAGGCCATGCCAGTAAAGTAAGTGATGTGGGGGGGGGGGCAAACTTCTCCCCTGCTCACCTTGGCCTGACTTTTTCCAGAAATAAATTGATAACCCTAATCTCCCTAATCCCCAAATCACCCTCCTAATTTCCCCAAGCACCTTCATTCCCTTCCTTATGATCAACCTTTGAGTTCCTTCTTCAAGTTTCCTTTCCAAGAGGGGTTCAAAAAAGTAGTGACAAGGAAAAGGATCTTTCATAGCGGTTCATACCACAGCAATAATAACCTTTCAGGAGCTCTTCTCGTTGTGAGACGTTTGTGGGTGAGCTGAGAGTTTGTTTGGACCCTGGGTGAGATCTTTGTATCAATGTAACATTTTTATATGCAACTGTATATTTTTGTAATACTTTCGTTTAAGTTGTCTGTTGTTGCTTTAGTTTTCTGTACACTGCTTAGATACTTTAAATATATTAAGGGGCATAGAAGCGAAGTAAATCATATCACCATCATCATCTACAAGCAATGGCTTTTTCCAAAGGCAAAGAAGTAGTATTATGGAGCCATCAGTGCTCAAGGTGTCTGTGTTTGTTTCAGTCTAACCTCAAGTTCAAAACTAGTTCAAGTTCTACAATATTTTGTACTGTGTTAAATTACCTGTAGAAAATGAAGCAACAGAATTAGGGTGTCTGACAAATGATTTATTTATCTTTGTGGTCTTAAGATCAGCTTTTGCCCTGGACTTGCCTCACTGTGTTTGGTCTGTCGTGGGTAAAAGTTGTAGGATTGGACAGACCAGTTTATCTCAACTCTAAGGTCGTGTCCTTGTGAAGTTTTGAGGGGGGATGTGCTGGGAGCCAGTCGGCCTGGCAGTACTTGTAAGTGTAACAAGCATCTTGCTCTTGCCCACATGCCAGGAAGAATCCATGTAGCTGTACCTTCTTTCCCTGTTCTCCTACCTACACCCCTTCATTTGGGTATAGCATATGCCATCATCCACCGTCCTTTGTTTCTGCAGGTTCCAGTGTCTGTGGCCATGATGTCTCCTCAGATGATCACCCCACAGCAGATGCAACAAATCCTGTCTCCTCCTCAACTCCAAGCTCTGCTGCAGCAGCAGCAAGCAATTATGCTGCAACAGGTAAGACAGCCTGTGTTTGAGTGGCCTTCTTGTGACAGACATTTCATGTGATTTCAGAGGACCGACCTTTGTGTCTCTACATTTCTCGCATGCAAATATAATGTGTTTTCTGTTTGTAAATTCCGAGATGAGGCACTGATATTCTACACTGATGTCCTGAGGCAGAGAGATACTTACTTACCCAGGGTTGTTGAATGTGTCCTTGCTTAGGTGCAATGTAAGTCCTGGACAGCCACGTTCTACACTTTCTACTGTAATAACTTATCCTCGCCCATGTCCTTTGCCTCTGAATATGGTTTGGCCACAAATATCTAGGCTAGCTGAAATTGTTTTAGTTTCCCGTTTGTAAATGGCAGCTCTTTTTTGAGAGGGGCTTGAATTGCCCTCCCAATGAACAGTTTAAAGATTGCTGTATCATAGGGGTCTCTCTCCAAAAAACATTAACAAAACTCTCTAGGTTTTTCTTCTTCTTCGTGTTTTATTAGACCAGTGCTAGCATAGTGAAGAGTTTGTCCCCATCAAATGGATTTGGGAGTCAGGTCTTGTCACAAGGTGGTGAGGTGTGGGTGTGTGCTTGTGTGGGGAGGGAATTTCTTTTCCCCGGCAACAAAATTGTACAGATTCATTGCTAATGCAACATTGTTAGTCTTCTCCTGCTCTGCCTTGGGAAATGTCTGGATACCTTATGACAACTGAATAATCATAATTGTACATTGCTTTGCAATGAGATTAGAGTCTAGAAAGCCCTTATTCCATTTTTGCCTCTTCCTCCCTGCTTTAGCTGTTCCCGTGAAATATTAAGAGCATTAACTATGAATAATTGCAGCAAGTTTGAAATAGTAAGTTGGATGTGTATGCCATTCTAATTAGTACCGAGTCAAAGTACAGTGGTGCCCCGCAAGACGAAATTAATTCGTTCCGCAATTTTTGTCGTCTAGCGAATTTTTCGTCTTGCGAAGCACGGTTTCCCATAGGAATGCATTGAAAATCAATTAATGCGTTCCTAGGGAAACCGCTTGCCAGGCTGGCGGTGCGGAGAAGGGCTTTTCTCCCCACCGCAAGCCTTCAGCACAGGTACGGGAACAGAGGGGAAGGCGCGCAGCGCTTTCCCTCTGTTCCCGGGGCTTGCGTGGGAGGAGGGTTTTTCCTCCCCACCGCCAACATTCAGAACAGCATTCTGAATGTTGGCGGTGGGAAGGAAAACCCTTCTCCCACCCCAAGTCTTCAGGACAGCCATCCGAAGGCTGGCGCGGGGAGAAGGTCTCTCCGCCCCCCCCCCACGCCAGGCTTCGGTGCATCCTTCAGAGGCTGCTGCCATAGTCACGCGTCACTTCTCCAGCTGGGAGAGGGTCGCGGGGCTATGGTTTCTTTAGCCCCGCGCCCGCTCTCCCGGCTGGAGAGGTGACGGGCGCCTATGGAGGTTCCTGCCATATGCGCGCGTCACAACTCCAGCTGGGAGAGGGTCGCGGGGGGCTGGTTTAGCCCCGCGCGCGTTCTCCTGGCTGGAGAGGTGACGGGCGCCTATGGAGGCTCCTGCCATAGGCGCGCGTCACTTCTCCAGCTGGGAGAGGGTCGCGGGGGGCTGGTTTAGCCCCGCGCGCGCTCTCCTGGCTGGAGAGGTGACGGGCGCCTATGGAGGTTCCTATGGAGCTGTTCCTGGAACAGCTTTCCGAAGTGGGGCGGCTGGGGCAGATGTCCCCGCCCCCCCTCCCCGCTTCGGAACAGCTTTCCGAAGTGGGGCGGCTGGGGCAGGTGACCCCGCCCCCCCCGCCCCACTTCGGAACAGCTGCAAAAGACGTCAGGGGGAAGCGGGGAAGCGAAGCGCTTCGCTTCCCGCTTCCCCCGGACCTCTTCTGAAGCAAGGGGCTGGAGGGAGATCGCTATCTCCCCCCAGCCCCTTGCTTCAGAAGAGGTCCGGGGGAAGCGGGAAGCGAAGCGCTTCGCTTCCCCGCTTCCCCCGACGTCTTTTGCAGCAAGGGGCTGCAGGGAGATCGCTATCTCCCCCCATCCCCTTGCTTCAGAAGAGGTCCGGGGGAAGCGGGGAAGCGAAGCGCTTCGCTTCCCCGCTTCCCCCGACGTCTTTTGCAGCAAGGGGCTGCAGGGAGATCGCTATCTCCCCCCAGCCCCTTGCTTCAGAAGAGGTCCGGGGGAAGCGGGGAAGCGAAGCGCTTCGCTTCCCCGCTTCCCCCGACGTCTTTTGCAGCAAGGGGCTGCAGGGAGATCGCTATCTCCCCCCATCCCCTTGCTTCAGAAGAGGTCCGGGGGAAGCGGGGAAGCGAAGCGCTTCGCTTCCCCGCTTCCCCCGACGTCTTTTGCAGCAAGGGGCTGCAGGGAGATCGCTATCTCCCCCCAGCCCCTTGCTTCAGAAGAGGTCCGGGGGAAGCGGGGAAGCGAAGCGCTTCGCTTCCCCGCTTCCCCCGACGTCTTTTGCAGCAAGGGGCTGCAGGGAGATCGCTATCTCCCCCCAGCCCCTTGCTTCAGAAGAGGTCCGGGGGAAGCGGGGAAGCGAAGCGCTTCGCTTCCCCGCTTCCCCCGACGTCTTTTGCAGCAAGGGGCTGCAGGGAGATCGCTATCTCCCCCCAGCCCCTTGCTTCAGAAGAGGTCCGGGGGAAGCGGGGAAGCGAAGCGCTTCGCTTCCCCGCTTCCCCTGACGTCTTTTGCAGCAAGGGGCTGCAGGGAGATCGCTATCTCCCCCCAGCCCCTTGCTTCAGAAGAGGTCCGGGGGAAGCGGGGAAGCGAAGCGCTTCGCTTCCCCGCTTCCCCCGGACGTCTTTTGCAGCAAGGGGCTGCAGGGAGATCGCTATCTCCCCGCAGCCCCTTGCTTCAAAAGAGAAGACCCGCTGTCCCCGGGGCAAGCTTCGTTTTGCGAAGCAAGCCCATAGGGGAATTCGTCTTGCGAGGCAAATCGCGGACGAAAAAACCTTTCGTCTAGCGAGTTTTTTGTCTTGCGAGGCGTTCGTCTTGCGGGGCACTACTGTATTTGGCCTTTGGTTTTTGTAAATTTTGGGGGTTGGGGCAAAAGTGATCCTTGAAGACTGGATTGATGTTCAGGTGCAGGTGAATTTCAAAATTCTTCAAATTGCCTTAAAAACAAGATGTCAATGTTTTCTTTTTCTAACAACACAAAGCTTTGCCAGCTGTTCAAGTGGTAGCTTGGCTGCTCTGGTTGTATTACTGGGATGGAGTGCCCCATGGAAATAATACTGTATCTTGATGTAACATCTTTCTTGGGGGCGGGTTGGGGGAGCCATTCATCCGTTGTGTAGCATTTGTTTCCAGGGACATTTTGTGCCAGGGATGCATCCAGAGCATCCAGGATGCTTTTCAAAGTAGCTGCAAGGCTTTTTCAAAATAATAAAAATCAAAAGAAACTCTCCCGACAACCACATTGTATTTAAGGTAAGATGAAAATTCTTGAGTTTAGTCTGCATCCTAAATATCTCCATAAACACTTTCATGGAGAATGGACAGTTCTGCAGATGTGAAGATTGTGGGATATTCAACCAGCCCTTAATTCAAATATTCCTTGTGTTAAAGACTTGGCACCCAAATCAAGGATGTATCAAGAGTGTTTGGTTGGTGCCCTGCAAATTAAACTTTTGTTGTCTGAACGTGGGCTTGTAGTTCAGCTCTCTCCTTGCTAACCATGAGCTATAGCAAAGACCTAGTTTGGCTTTTTGTGATGTGTTGACCAGGTCAATGAGAAATTTAAGAAGATAAGATGAATTAAGGGTGCTCTTATCCAACTAAATTAAGGGTGCTCTTATCCAACTAAATAAATTAAGGTGCTCTCACCACTAGGAATTACTTTGTAGCTGCACATAACTGGAGAGGCTTATTCTAATTAAGATATGTATTTTGACCTAACACTTTGTCTAGCTGTTCTTTGCAGCTCTGAACCACATTTGCTTGCCCCCTAATTTGGAATTGAGTGTTTGAATAAAAAGTCAGCCTTAGCAGCTTGATCTGGTACTTTTACAGACAGACAGACTTTCTTTGGCAAAAGGAAAATGCTTTCTCTCTCAGTTACGAAATAGTTAGAAGAAGGGAGGAGATAATAAAATCCCCCAACAAAACACAGCTGTTTTGATAAACACTTTCTCTAGGGAGGGGGAATGAACAAGAAAACACAGCATCCTCCACACCCTTCTTCCTGCCTTCAGTACCTGTTTACTTCATACAAGCTGATAAGAAGTCAAGGTTGGCCCCAGGGAAAGAACAAAGGGTAAACACTAACTTGGGTGGGGTCCTTCCTTCTCTGAGCCTCTTTGGAGCCAGATAGAGAAACATGTTTGACTGCAAATTAAACAGCCTAGGCCGGAATAGCTGGCATTCTCCACAAGAAGAAAACCAAACATCACACCTCTCACCTCTTGACCCAATGTTCTCAGAATCCCATACAGAGACCAGGTTTTGATTGGCTTTTGGGTAAACAGGGAGGCTTTCCAAACCTGTTCAGCAGACATAAAGAGAAAAGTTTCTGCTGTCAGCACTGTCAACTACAAGCTGATAAGGACTTTCCCAGAATCCCCAGGGGCACTCCTCAGGAGCCAGCTTTTTTTCCTAGTGTTGAAGAACCTGTGTCGACCTCTCCTGTGGTTCTGGCCCCCTCCTGTGGAAAACAAACCAAATTTGTAGATTTAGAAGGGCACAGTGTATTAAATTAGAATTGGCATCCCTTTGAAAATCCCTGTATAATACCATTCAGCACACAATGAGCATTACCCTTTATCCAGGAATCTTAGGTCACATTGTAGAGTATTAAGTGTTTATGTGCAGTATATACTGGCATGCCTGTTTCATAGATAGCAGAACAGAGACGCTAAGTAGAAGTGAGTTATGATACCCCAGAGCCCCAATCATACGTCCCATTTAAAAGCCGCACTCTCATTTTCAAGTTTTTGAGGTGTAATTTTTTTTAAGAAAAAAATAAATTGTACTTTTAGGATTTTATTTTATGCATTTTTATGTAATAAACCCAAACTTTTGCTTCTTATAGCCCATGTCCAGGACACCCAGAAACAAGGGCAAGTATTTTTAGGGCAGGGCAATTTATTTTCCTAAGATTAAAATAAAATGTATGTTTGTGAGTATTTACAATTTAAGAACTGAGCAACTTGCAAAGAGTACACCATACATAGTATACAAATGTAACCAAGCCTTACTACATGCCATTGCATTAGCTTGCATTCATCCCTTGCTAGATTGTAAGCATCTTGGAGGCAGAGACATACGAGTGCCAAGTGCCTTTGGCATGCTATAAATTGCTCTTTTCACTCCCTGCTGATCTTCAAACAGGAGACAAAGATCTGGTGTGTTTTTTTAGAGAGCCTTTGAAACTCTGAGTTTGGCACACACAAAATTTGGCTTGCTTTATTAATTTAATGTATTGATTTCTGAGTTTGTTCTGCCGTTTTGTTTACTTTTCGTATTATGGATTTTAAAATTTGTTACAGCTTGTCTTTAGGCTTAAAGACACAATGCTAATGTTTTAAAAAGCAAAATAGATAACAGTTTCACCTTTTTGTTTCTGATGTGACTGTAAAACATACTTTGGCTATTTTGACTTTCTTCTGTAACGTTATTATTCACTCGTAATATTTGCATGCAAATTGTGCAAGGGGAGCTTGGAGAAACTGCATGTGTGAAACTTCACTTAGAAAGTACTTAACATACAATGATTAAACCAACTGAACAGGGTGAGCATGAAGTTGGGGTGCTAAACAGCTCAGGACAAGGACTGCCCCTCTGCATGTGAATTGACCTAGACCCTGTGATCATCATCTGAGGTCCTTCTTCATGTGCCTCTACCATGAGAGGCCTAGAGGAGACAACACAAGAGCAGACCTCCCAATTTGTGGAATACCCAGGGAGACTCACCTGGCACCATCATAACATATCTTTAGGCATTAGGCAAAAACTTTCCTCTATAACTAGGCCTTTTGCTTTTAACTATGTGTGGTCTTTTAGAAGTGGGCAAGTTGTTTTCATTGTATTTCTTTTGCCCCTTTTTGTTTTAATTATCTATGTGCGGGGGTGGTAGTGTCTGTCTGTGTCTTTGGTTCTAAGTTGCTTTGGGTTACCCTGGACAAGATAAAATGACTATCAAATTTAATGATTATGATGATGATGACAGTGATGTTGACAGTGATGATGAAGCAATACAATGCATAACCAAATAACAGACAAATTGCTTGATATAGTAAGATAAATATATGTCTGTTTCAAATGAAGTAAGCTCATTCAACTCTAAACCAGTTAGTCTCTGGTTGTACTGGACACAAAAATACGCAGTTTCCTATCTCTCCCTCTTTCCCATTTATCTCGCCCCAGATGGCGTAGTGATGGACAGGAAGAGGTTACAGCCTGGAGCTCTTGTAATTCAGTCTGTTGAATCATATTCTTTCAGTTCTGGGAATTCTCCTTTAAATTTTTACATGTATTTGCCACACCTTTTAGAAAAATATTACACTTGGCTATCTGTTTCCATTGCCAGAATCTTTGGAGGAAATAATTTCCCTGTCTTCTTTCCTTGGTTTTTTCTTTCCCCTGTAAACAAAAGATTTGCAATTGCTAGAGTTTTCTCTGTCTCTGCATAAGCAGGAAGGTGACCTGCACAACCACCAGATTCTGTTGTTCTACAAATGATGATTTAACATCAAACCTTGTGGAGTTAAGCATGTCTCACTCTGGGTGTTGCTGGCATGGAAGAAAGAGCCTAGTTTAAATGGCTCACATTTTAAAACCCACAATTCTCAGGAGTTTAGGAATCTCCCAGCATTCCAGTGCAATACTTGCAAATAATGTCACAATTCTTAGCCACATGATATCAATCTAGTGTGAAGTGCTGGGGAAACCGAAGGAGTTTTACAAGTGCCAGTGTAATCCAGTTCACAGAGCAAAAGAGAGATATTAGTGGAATACTGAGTTTCTTAAACAAGTTAATTTCTCAACCTCTATTTGAATTCATAAAATGGGAGTGCCAGTGAGCTTCAAATGATCTTCGTGAGGATGGATGAACTGTAAAGAAAATTGTTATACTAAAGTACAACAGAAATAAATAGCTTTCTTCCACAGACTCCTTATGTGATCCTGTTCAAATCACCTGCTTCTTGGGGGCTATTGTAAATAATGCCAAACATATATGTAACACCTTGTCAATGTGCTAACACAGGCATAGGCAACCTTCGGCCCTCCGGATGTTTTGGCCTACAACTCCCATGATCCCATGAGCTAACAGGAACAGTGATCAGGGATGATGGGAATTGTAGTCCAAAGGGCCGAAGGTTGCCTATGCCTGTGCTAACATCTTAGGAAATGGTGAGGCCCAGATATGTAATGATACGTAATTCTCAATCACTCTGCCCTTTTTTAAATCAAACACTGACCTCATTCACATATTGCTTTAAATCATAGTTAAGCAAAACTAGAGTTTTAAGGTGAAAGTTCAGTGTGCTGGGGTATGCTACTGAAATGGTGGGCATTTCACTCCTACCCCACTCTGCCACCATGCTCCAGGAGCTAAGCCATGGTTTGGCCTAGTGTTAGAGTCTGAACCCAGGCTCACGATTTCTTTCTTTCCAAACAAGCCAGGGGCTGTAAGCAAGGTTTGTTCTTAGCTTCCTGCTTGTGGTTTATTTGGGAAAACAGGAGCGGGGAAGGAGTGACGCACCTTCAATTTCAGCAGTGTGCATGAGCAACAGTGGGTAACCTTTGGTGCTCCAGATATTGCTGAACTACAATAAGCCCCAGCAAGCATGCCGGTGGCCCAGTAGGTGTAGTAGTAATTTAGCAACATTTGGAAGACCACAGGTTCTCCACCCTTGGTTTAAAGTGATGTGCAAGCAAACAACTAATGGTCTCATTTCCTCTCTATATTCTTCCCTCATGCCTCTTCCTCAGCTGCAGGAATACTACAAGAAGCAGCAGGAGCAACTTCATCTGCAGCTACTGACTCAGCAGCAAGCTGGAAAGCAGCAAGCCAAAGAGGTGAGTTTGGCCTCTGTGTACAGAAATGCACTGCTGTTTGCATGAACACTTCTGCAGAAAAGTGAGTTCAACTTGTTTATAAAGGGGGGCGGCAACTTCAGAAATGTCTTCTGGGAATGGTAGATGAGTGGTGCATTATTCCTCCTTTAAAAGAACAGACTGGCCAATTGTGTAACTTCCTATGGGGGGGGGGGACAGACTGTCCTTCCTTATTCTATGAAACAAGCTAAATTTTACTATGCTTTAAAAAAGACTTACTTTTTTTTTAAGAAGTGAATTATCCCGGATCCCCAGTAATTGTCTGGGAACCTGTTGCTTGTTCAAGACACTTATCTGCAACTGCAAACATATGATTTTCACTTCAGGAATCAAAAATCATAGATATTTGCTGCATCCCTGCTATTAGCACTCCTGCCAGAATCAACATCATAATACCGAGTGCTGTGAAAGCATTCTTTGGCAGTTGTGCTGCTGCCTTGAAAGCACACGTTGCAGTGTATGATAACCTGGAAAATCTGATATGCTTGTCACAATAGCACAACCCGCAGAACTTATTTCTGGGCTACCTGTTAGTTCTAGGGAATAATAGAGTTTCCAGGATTCAAATGTCCATATCTCAAACCCTTCTTAACCCTTCTCCAATGAATTTCTTCAGCTTTGTATTTGCATAGTTAATTGTGTTGTGATTGGGCCAGATAATTAAAATTCTAGATGCTACGAGTTATTTTAGCATTTTCCACAAAGGTTTGTGCGAGGACAAGTGGAGAATGATTCAGCTATATTGATGTTTCTAAATTCCAGGATTATTATTTTTGCTATATTTGATAGAGTTTATTTCCCCCAATATTTACTGAAGCACCATGAATTTCAGCTTGTTGTGAATTATTGTGATTAACACCATCATCGTTGTTACTGTTATAATCACTATCATCGTTATTTAGTTGCCTATTTCAAAAATAGTTTCTAGGAGATTTACAAACAGAATAAAAATATGGGGTTAAAAATGTAGCAACCATCAGTATGCTAACAAAACAATAACCTCAAGCATCACAGCAACAGCAAAATAGCAGCAGTATATGGGCCACAACAACCTTTCTCAATCGACCTTAACCTGTATCATCTGCGTCAGGGAAGCCTGATTGGAGAATATTCTGTAGCTGAGGGGCCACAGCCAAAAAGGGCCTCTCCCATGTCACCACTCTTCGACATTCTTTACATTAAAGATGGAAGTTTATCAAGGTCTTCAGTTAGTGTTGGATTGATAGAGGCACTAGCTCAGCAGTACTGTTCTGTATACTCCCCCACATTTTGAGTCTTCCTGCTGCGTCACTGGTGATGTGTGCTGCTTCTAATATATTTATTGTTAGTTTCTTCCATTCTCTGTTGCAGTAGCTTCCACCACAAAGCCATCTGGCATAACCAAAATTATCAGCAGCTCAGAATCACTATTATTAAGGACTGTATGGTCACCTTATGATTTAGCCACATTATGCATATGGCCAGATATCAGGATTAACCTGTGACCTCTCTGTGAACCCAATAGGAACTATGCATGTGCAGGTCAGACTGTAAAGGTTCTAGAGTGCTCTTATGAAAGCAAGGTGCTCTCCTGCTCCTCTCCCCTAAACGTTATACCAGTCACACCTCTCTGATTTCAGACTGTTTCCATGTGTTGGCTGTAATGTATAAACAGGCCCTTAGACTGGCCTCTGTAAATATATATATATATATATATATAATGGTTGGATAGCCAGTGCTTAACCTAGTTTTGATATCTGGAGGGGTGACTTTTTTGGTCATATGATGCTTGAGATAATCTCTGAAACAGTAAAATGCTATTGATCAAAGTATGGCTGATGTTACTTACTTTTTCTCTAACTTTAAATATGCGGGCAATAGTCTGTTTACTTATTTATTGGTTGATTTAAATTTATACCCCTTCCTCAAGGTTTAGAGTGGGGATTCAGAGCCAGGTTACAGATCATATTGAATTATATGTCATTCTCCTCCTCACCCCCAGCTGGGTTTCTTTTTCAAAATCTGCCTATGCAGAAATAAGAAATGCAGGAATAGCCTTTTAACCTTTCCCCCTTCTGTTGAAAATTCCCCCTTCCAGCTCCTTTTTCCTCTCAGAGTGGGAAGAAATAAATGTACCTCAAATCTTTTCCCTTGTAGGGAAAAAAAGGATATTGGGGGGAGGGAACAATTTTCAACAGCCAAAAAAACCTGGGGAGGAAAAAGTTTAAAAGGTGAAGGCAGATTGTTGCCACCATTGCTGCATTTTGTTTTTAGGGGAGGGGGCAAGAACTACACACAACTTGGTGTCATGTGCAACTTGGCCATAATGCCACTAGAAAACAAACTTATTTATGAGCACTATCCAGGAGAAGTTAATAACTCCTCTTAAATTCTATTGATTTCAGCGGGAGAACTCAAACTCAGGCTTAAAGCTCTTCTGTTGAAGTCAGCGGGACTTGAAAGAGTTTTGCCTAGAGCTAGATCATACCCATAAATTTTATGTATATTCTTACACATTTTTCTGCATTTCCCAGGTTCTGATATTTTATGTAGAATAATATGCATGCTTTCAAGCCTAGTTTTACATCTGTTTGTGCTAGGGAAAAAAACCACACACAAAGTTCTCAGACTCTCAAGGTGTAAATTCTGCACTTGCATGGAATATGTTGCCTATTTAGAGCCCATTAGAGCCCATTTTCTTCCTAATTTATTGAATTTATTCTATATCTGTTCTATACCTGTCTATAGTTGTTTCTAATAATATTAACTCAGCACTTTTGAAATCAGCACCTTTATTCCCTCATGCCCAAATGTCTATAAGAAGTGCAGTAATTGAGGAACTGAGAAATCACAGTTACTCCTCCAAACACATACCGCAAGCCGACAGCAGAATAAGAAGAAACTCTGAATCTGAGGCGAGCATCTGAATTTTGTGGCACCTGTTTTGTTTTGACTTGCAAAGTGCTGCTTCCTTTAGTTGAGCAACATTTTTATTTTGGCAGGTATGAGTTAATCCTGTCACAACCAATGTGGGCAGCAGTATACAGTGTACTCAGGCCAGTAATGTTATGCTGTTGTTTCTAGTAGTGTATTTGGAATGCGAAACCAGCTGTCCCTGTTCTTACAAACCTAGTTCCTTTTATGCTTCCCGAAAACTTGAGAGGGAGAAAAGCTTTCAGACAGAGCCTCGTCTCTGGCAGTTGCCCCAGTGTACCAGATGATATTGCATGAGGGGGCAGCACATGAAGATTGGCCAGCGAGTAACCTAGGCGTCAGATTAATGAAGTGCTCCTGTCAGTCCAGAGTGTCACGCTGAAACTCCTCTTGATGTGCTCATAAATCAAAGTGACGGTGCCTGTTACCCCAGTAGCTGCACCCGCTCAGCTGCGTCTAATGTAAACAGAGTGCAGACAAAATGCATTAAGGAACTCAAACCCTGTCGCTAGGGAAAAGATCAGGGATCAAGGGTGTATAGGGTTGGAGCAGGAAGAGGGAGGGTTGGATTTGGGGATTGCACCCTAACAGGAAGCCTTCCCTATGTGCCTCCGTCTCTGAGAGAAGGAAAGATTGGAAAGGCCCAGTGGGTGCTAGTGACTGGCAGAGTAAGGTTCAGTAATTACTTTCTTTGTGTTTAAGATTTTTATCTGTGGGCCGATAAGCTTCATACTTCATTGGTTCTATCAAAAGTACGCAGCGGATGACCTCCAAAAGTGAAAGTGTCCAGAGAAACCCACAGACTATGGCAGCAGCATGTCAGGGGAGGCGGAGAGGGAGCTGGTAGGCAACAGAAGAAGGAAACTTTATTTATTTTTTTAGTACCTGGTGATCAGGGAAAGATGTTTGAGGAATGTGGCTTATTAGAAGAAAGGCTGGAAGAAAGACTGAAGTGCATTTAATGGACTATGCCATTTTACAAATGCGGTGCCCATTGTTAGGCCTGGCAAACTAGCAAAGCTTTCATATCTTTTAAGCATAACTTGAACTCAATTCCCTGTGATAATATCTGAAAAACAATAATTCCATTACATGCATTACTGTGCCTCATATTCAGTATTTTATCTGAATATTAAAACTGATAACTCTCCTCCCAAAGGTTTGGGGTGAGTAAAAAATGGGGGGGGGAAATAAAAGAAAATAACCCACCAACAGACTAGCATAACATTAAAAAATTCACTAACATTTCCCCACTCTTTCCTAATTTAAGCCTCAAAGTCCAGCCCTAAGCAGTAAGTCCTCGCAAAGCTACCATAAAGCAATCTGGTTTGGATTTTGTTGAAACTATAATTGGAGTAAGGGACGCGGGTGGCGCTGTGAGTTAAACCACAGAGCCTAGGACTTGCCAATCAGAAGGTCGGCGGTTCGAATCCCTGCAACGGGGTGAGCTCCCATTGTTCGGTCCCTGCTCCTGCCAACCTAGCAGTTCGAAAGCATGTCAAAGTGCAAGTAGATAAATAGGTACTGCTCCAGCGGGAAGGTAAACGGCGTTTCTGTGCACTGCTCTGGTTCGCCAGAAGCGGCTTAGTCATGCTGGCCACATGACCCGGAAGCTGTACGCTGGCTCCCTCAGCCAATAAAGCGAGATGACCGCCGCAACCCCAGTCGGCCACGACTGGACCTAATGGTCAGGGTTCCCTTTACCTTTACAGTGGTACCTCAGGTTACATACGCTTCAGGTTACATACGCTTCAAGTTATAGACTCCGCTAACCCAGAAATAGTGCTTCAGGTTAAGAACTTTGCTTCTGGATGAGAACAGAAATCATGCTCCTGCGGCGCAGCGGCAGCAGGAGGCCCCATTAGCTAAAGTGGTGCTTCAGGTTAAGAACAGTTTCAGGTTAAGTACGGACCTCCGGAACGAATTAAGTACTTAACCTGAGGTACCACTGTACTTTATAATTGGAGTAAGGTTTGTAATTGGTGTGAGTGGGGATCCACCAAAAATGCTTCTCTTAACACCATCTTTGCTGTCTGAACCTAATGAGTAGATGTTGTCAAAAAGAGGGCACCTTTGGTGGATGACTGAGATTATATTTGGAAATGTGTCAAAAGGCCATTTTAAGGTGTGCTTGCTGTATTCCCCAAAACTAGATACAGTGCAACCTTGGTTCTCAAACGGCTTAGTTGACGAACAGATTGGCTCCTGAATGCCGAAAACCCAGAAGTCAGTGTTCCGGTTTTCGAACGTTTTTCGGAAGCCAAACATCCAACGCGACTTCTGCTTGAGTGCAGGAAGCTCCAGCAGCCAATCGGAAGCCGTGCCTTGGTTTTTGAACATTTTGGGAGTCGAACTGACTTCCGGAACAGATTAAGTTCGAGAACCAAGGTACCATCATATCTAATGTGGTTATCATATTGGTCCTTTCCATACTAGTAATGAAAACAGTACTACTGAGTATGGTGATACCACATTACCAACTCACTAATAGTAGACAAAGGGCACAATCCAGCAGGAAATTTTTGTATGTGCTAGCCTCAATGAAATAAATGGAAGCTGCAGAAGAGCACAGCAGTATTCTTGCTCAGCTTGCTTTCATTTCAAAAGAGCTTATGCAGGAGAACGTCCCAGAGGATTACGTCTGCAGGTGCCGCCTGGAAAGCAAGTGTATTTTCATAGTTTCCTGCGCTGACATTTTTGATGGTGTGGAAAGCAGCTTTAGAACTTATTTGTGAGTAAGGACCCTAGGGAGGAGGATAAATTTTTGTTAGCTTGAATTGGAGGCTTGCAACCAGGGGATTTGATATCCAAGTTTCTGTTAGAAGCTTAAATGAAACTAGCTAAAGGGTTCAAACAACCATTTTAACCCAGCTCTTCTTCCAGTGGCAGGAACTCCACATATGACATGTTCCATCCCCAAATTGTTTTAGGAATTCCAAAAAGCTATGCTCTAATACAGGGGTCAGCAAACTAAGGCCCAGGGGCCGGATCCGGCCCAATCACCAATCACCTTCTCAATCCGGCCTGCGGGTGGTCCAGGAATCAGTGTGTTTTTACATGAGTAGAATGTGTCCTTTTATTTAAAATGCATCTCTGGGTTATTTGTGGGGCATAGGAATCCGTTCATTTCCCCCCTCAAAATATAGTCCGCCCCCCCAAAAGGGCTGAGGGACAGTGGACCAGCCCCCCTGCTGAAAAAGTTTGCTGACCTTTGCTCTAATGCATTAGTTACTCTGTTGCATGGAAAACATGTCCTGACAATCCATTTTCTAAGGACAGGTGCTTACACTTCTGTTGCAGCCTCCAGTGCTCATTCATATGGCCCTAGACTTCATTGTACCTTCTATTTATTCCCCACTTGTCCCACAGCCATGAGTCACTCCATTCTCAGTGCCTATGAGATCCCATTTCAGTATGGGCCTGCAGAAAAGCCATGCAGCTGAAGCCATTTCACCTGCTGGTTACTCACTGTTCCCTTGTCCTCATCTGTTATCCTCCAGACTCCCGGAACCTACTATAAGGATGCTTGGGCTCAATGACAAGTCCATGAGGAAAGATACAGAGGACTGTTGAGTTATGAAGTGAAAGCAACATGCCCTGGGGATCCTAATGACTTAATCCGTTCCCAATTTCCTTCTGTTTTACAGCCTGGAAGTTGAGTGAATGGGGCAGTGTTCAACTGCTCTGATGTAACAGGCAGAAACCTGTGCTCACAGAAAGGCCTGCCAGGGAGTGGGGAAGCAAGGGAGGGGGGAAAGCAAACTCTAGTCTGTGTGATACTGCTACAGATTTTTTACATGGGAGCGTTCTAGGATCCCCTCCCACACCCTTAGGCCACTCAGAGTGCATCTCACACACATACATTTTTTTAACATGAATGACTCACCCTTCCTTGCTTGTCTGCCTGCAGTACAGTCTGTAGGGGATGCCTCTTCCCAGTTTTGATGCCCCTTGGCTGAGACAGACCGCCTGGTGATTCATCAGTTAGGAATTTTATCCAAATTGAAAATGAATGGACTTGCCTTGATGTACTCTTCAATGATGTATTCTATTCTGCTCTTCAGATAGCTACCAAATAAATGCTTCAAAGATTAGATGGAGGACAAAATGGATATTTTAGGCTCTGAATCTTTAACATATTTTGCCAGTTCCTGCTTCTCTGAGGCCGCCTTGGTTTATGCTACAGTGGATCTCTCTCTACCTCTTGAATTTATCCATTTAAATATTTATAAGTAACATTTGCGTAAGAATAGAAGAAGGCAGTGTACAACATACAAGCATAATGTGATCTTACCTGCCAGCTGAAGTACACATATTTTAGTAGAGGTAGTATGAAGAATCATAGCATTGTAAAACTGAAGAGTTGGAGGGAACCACAAGGGTCATCTAGTCCAACCCTCTACAATGCAGGAATCTTTTTGCCCAGCGTGAGACTCAAACCCATGACTCTGAGATTAAGTGTATTATTCTCTACCAACTGAGCTGTCCAGCATAGGGTTATGGTGAGAAAGGGGCCACACATTATTCTCTCGTACATATTGTCATTTGTTACAGTTTTGTTTATAAAATAAATCAATGGCTGTAGTTGTGCTCCTTTTTCTGCCCATAGAGGGGCCACCTCATTTTACCTGTGTGTTTTTAGATTGTGATTTTATGTTGTGATCCGCCTTGAGACCTGCGGGTATAGGGCGATATACAAATTTAATTAACAACAACTACTACTTCCAAACAAATCTTTAATAAATGTTTTAGGAAAATCATTACATAAATTATTTTAATAATAATATTCAAACTATTTGCATTTGAATTTAATCCTTTCATTTTGCCTCTTGGGCTTTCCTTTTAAATCACCTCGATTCAAAATATTTGAGAAGAATCTTGTTCTTGGCTTTGCCACAAACTCCCCATGAAATCATGGGCAGGCCATTATTCTTCTCACTGAAATTAATGGGCCTCGTCTTGTTGGAGTCAGTGTACATGGATGTCAATGGGTTGTGGTTAAGGCCCACAGTCAGCTAGAGTTCTTGAATTTTAAGATAATTTAGTGCTGTTAATTTCTGACACTGAGATTGATTCTCCATCTTAACATTAATTTTTTTTACATTGGATTAACCCATTTCCTGCCTGTAATAGGAAGATAATTATGAGCATTTGTGACATGTTTTGCCAAAACTTTTTCTAAATTATGGCCCATATTTGTGTCACATTCCATTTTCTCTAAAAAGCCATGCATAAACAACCAGATTTCTATGTGTCATTCTGTATGAGAGGTGGGAAAAAGTTTATATTAGTGTATATTTCCCTCTGCCAATTTAATTAATATATATTTAAAAAAATAACACATTTATTCCTTGAGACCAGCAGGAGCCCCAGATCCTGGGCATTAAAGTTTCAGGGGTAGATATGGCCCAGATGGTTGTGTGTTTCTCCATAAAGTCAAACCATTGTCTTTAAGAGTTTCCCAGGTTATGATGCTCTAGCCTGCAAGCCTTTTGTGTTGCTCATAGGAGCTCAATCCATTGATGCTGATGTATGCTTCGGGTAGGCAGATACAACTGAGAAACAGAGATTCTGCTTCTTTATGCACAATTCAAACACACAGACTTTGTGGAAATGCTCATCTGGCAGAGAGACTCAGCATTTTCACTGCTCTGCCAAGCAGGCTCGCTCTCTTCTCTTCCGCCACCCACCCCCTTCGTTCTGCTGCTATGATAGATCAAAGGCTTTCTGTCTTGGTTATATGCTGTGTGGCCACTGAGGACAAGAGATCAGGACTGTGAGCTGTGCTGGCTGAAAGCAAGGCTGATGCTGGGATTGGGCTGCTTATGCAAGACCCCAGAGAATCCCGGAAGGCCTGTGCTACAGGGTTGAAAATAATGTGTTTTGATTTTTTCCTTTTGTCTTCCAGCAGCCATTAGGGAATAAGCAGCTGGCATTCCAACAACAGCTACTGCAGATGCAGCAGCTGCAGCAGCAGCACCTGTTAAACCTCCAGCGACAAGGGCTGGTCAGTTTACAGCCAGGACAAGGCACCGTTCCTCTGCAGACCCTTCCACAAGGTAATTCACATAAGCTTCCTTGCTTTTTTAGTGCCAGAGGAGGTAACCCATGCACCCAGAGCAGCAATTAGCACAGCCTGTTGGTTTTCTGTTAATTTTAAGAGCTGACTGTTTGAATGCACGTGGGGCCTAACATTTGGCATGCTTTGGGTTTTGTTATAGAACAGACATCAATAACGCATTATTGGACCAAAATGTAATGTGCCTGATCTGACTCCTGTTCCAGGAGCTGTGTTGCTGTTAACGGGAGAAAGCTGGGGCCTAATATTTCATTTTTACCTTTCGTGCATAACACAGGGGTTGCCTGCCGGTGGAAGCTCCACTGTGATGTTGCTACTTTCTGTCTGCAAGAGGGGGATGCATAAGCAAAGTAGCTTCACTTTATGCAGACACCTTATGCCCCTCTCTTCCAGAGAGGCAGTCCTTGAGGAAAGCGGCAGAGTCTAGACTGATATACTGAGCCTAGTTCATGCTAAATGGGGTCTTTGAACATCGTGAATTGGTAGGGACAGGCAGTGGCAAGGCATGCGGTGGTGGGCAAGCTAAAAGCAATGCTCAGGTTTTGCCAATAAGTGCCCCCACCCCCCGCTTACCTTGGTCATGGCAGCAGGAGTTAGCCAAGTACTCCTTTCATCCCCATCCCTCCTGCACTCCCCACCCCCCACCCCGATCAGGCCTATTCAGTTCCATATTCAAATGTCTAAGGGTCTCTTTATTTGTTTGGAATGGAAACCAGAAGAAGTTTGGACACACACTCACTTGAATTTTAGTCTGGCATCCTGGATTTGTTTGACTTTGCTGGTCAGAACTGAGTCTATGCCCATCCTTTGGGGAAGGATATTGACTCACTAGTAAGACACATGCTTTTGCATGAAGAAGGTTCCAGGTTCAAACTCTGGTATCTCCGGGTAGAGCTGGGAGGGATCTTGTCTGAAATCCTGACGAGCTTCTGCTGGTTAGTAAACAAGCAAGCATGCAGGTACACAGACTGAAAATCACAACTGCTTCACTCTTCACCAGGTTCTGCTACTGCCATTCTACCCTGAGCTAAGCCATGGTTTGGCTTAGTTTTAAGTACAAACTCAAGACTGTGGTTTGTCTCACTCCAAACAAACTACGAACATTAAGCTAAGAACAAGCCCTTGATACAGCTTGTTTGGAATGAGACAAATCGTGGGCCTGGGTTCACACTTAACACTTAGCCAAACTATGGCATAGCTCTGGGTAGTGGTGCAATAGCAGGACTGGGAGAGGAGGAAAATGGCTGTGATTTTTGCTCTCTCTACCCATACACTTGCTTGTTCACACTTAGCCTTGATTTGGTGTTATGTGTGAACCAGGCTGATAAAAGGCAATTTTCTATGTTCCTGTGAGTAACTGAATGCAAATATGTAATCGGGCAGCTAATTTTTAAGAGTTACATCCCAAAAAGCATTGTAGCTGCTACTGTGCCTAAACGTCAGTATTTTTACCTATCTAAAAGACAGTGTGATCATCTAGCTAGCCAAATCAAGATAAGAATGAATGCATTCCATGGCATGAAATCCATATATTGCCAGAACCACTTGTGGTATATACCAGACATGCCAAAACAAAACCACCCTCTGGCTTAGTTTTTCTTCTCCGTATAAGTGGTATAAATATCCAGCCTCTGCATCAGGGATGGGTAAAAGCAGTCAGTTGTTGGCAGTGCGTTGGAGGACTGCTATCCAATTTCTAGTGGGCCACATACTGCTGAGATGGTGGACTAGTGTGCCTGACTGTCTCGAGCAAAAGTAATTTTTATATTATCAAGCAAGGGTTTGTTCTTGGGATCTCTAATACAGATTAGTTATGTCTTTAATTGTTAAGAAACCCTTCAATAAAATTGTAATTTTAAATAATCAATTTAAAACTTGTAATGGCCGTGGAGATTCTAGACCATGTAAGACTGAAGTACCGTATTTTTTGCTCTATAAGACTCACTTTTTCCCTCCTAAAAAGTAAGGGGAAATGTGTGTGCGTCTTATGGAGCGAATGCAGGCTGTGCAGCTATCCCAGAAGCCAGAACAGCAAGAGGGATTGCTGCTTTCGCTGCGCTGCCATCCCTCTTCTTGTTCTGGCTTCTGAGATTCAGAATATTTTTTTTCTTGTTTTCCTCCTCCAAAAATTAGGTGCTTCTTATGGTCTGGTGCGTCTTATAGAGCGAAAAATACGGTAATTCCATGCCTGCTCTAAAAGTCACTTAAGTTCTGTTTGATTTCCAGATGCCACGATTAATAGTGTTACATAAATAGTCATTGAGGAGAGCTCTCAGTAGTCGGGAGACTCAATTAGCTCTTTTGTCAACGAACTAAACACAGAAGCCACACCTTTCATGGATTTTTTTGGCTCATCTTAGCATGGGTTCTGCAGATTTGTGATTCTTAAATCTTTCTTTAAAAAATCTTTTCCTCTTTCTGCTGCTCCTTCCTGCTCTCTCCAACATGTGTGAAGCTGTGTGTCCCTCAGACCTTCAGCAGCTATGGAAAGAGGTTACTGCTACTCAGCCTGTAGAAGACAGTATCAAGCAAGAGGGACTTGACCTCAGCACCAACACCTCCAATTCTACCTCGTTTTCGGCCGCCAAGGTCTCTCCTCCAATTTCCCACCACCCTCTTCCCAATGGACAGAACGCCATGCTCACACAAAGGAGGGACAGGTAGAAACTTTATGTGGTCCTTTAAAATATGGAATGGATAATTTGTAAAGGATATAGAATTTATCTCAAAGGATGGGGTAAAATTCTACACATGATTGGGAGAGACTAGTATTTTCTATCGCGTTCAGACTTTGAACTACTACTTTTTGCACTACTATTTGGCACAGTGTTGGCTTACCAGATATGGAGTCAAATTTGTGATTGTACCTGCCTTCAGTGACAAATGGAACTTCTTAAGTCACAATAGGGGAGATTGGCTATGTGTAAATTGGCCACTTCAATTCAGACCCAATGAATTACAATTTAGGCTCAATGAACGAATTATATGTGAGTCTTGCTAGCCATTGGAGAATGGCTACATGACTATCTTCCCAAACATTTGTGTATAATGGCCCCATTGCTGTTGTGGAGACTATGCTGACTCAGTTGTGTTTTTTTTTTAATGGCACTGGTGCAGTCACAGCCTTTAGTTTTTCAGTTTACCCCAAGGGCCAAATAAGAGTTCATAATAGCCATTCATGTCAGGGAAATGGCTTAGATGCTGTACTGTTTGGGAGTATCCAGTAAAGAGCTTTCCACTCTGATGCTTTGACACCCTAGCAGACAGCTAAGGATCTAACAAGATCCTGCATATAGGCGGAGACTCTTACCCTTGGGACAGTCCCATGCTAATCAGATGAAGGCAGCTGTGCTAAGTACACAGTCCATAGGTCTGTCAGCCTTGTGGGCTATCAAGAATAAGCAAGAAACATAGCATGGATGCACTGCAGAGATAAGGAAGTTCTGCATCAAGCAGAAGCAGACAAGCAATCTATATTAAAATCTAATAAAGCAAACCCATCACTGGATTAAAACAAACAATCTCATTAAACTCCACTAAAATCAGAGGAAACAGGGTTATTTACTAGCAGAGTAGGTATCAGAAGAAAGGTTACAGGGAGAGAGTTCCACAAATGAGGCGCCAAGACAGCTCTGGTAACTACCCAAGTTGACTTGGAGGATGAAGGAACCTATAACCTGACATCCTATGAAGCTTTTACTAATTTGGCAGGTTCACAGGGGAGCAGGCAGCCCTTTCATATATTGTGGTTCCAGACCTTTTAAAGCCTTATAGCTCAGAACCAGCACTTGAATTATGTTTGGAAATAAATTTGGAGACCATGGAGCTCTTTTGGTACTGGTGATACATGTTCCTCTGCATCTGTGTTTGGAACCAACCTGCAGTTTCTGTGCATTCTTCCTAGGTAGTCCCACACATAGCACTTTATAGTAATCTAACCTTGATGAAACCAGGGTATGGATAACTGTAGCCAGTGCACATTTTTTTTCAAGAAGAGTTGCATCTAGCATACCAAGAAGATAGTTAAAAAGTATTTTGTGCCACACCTGACAATCTAAAATATGAACTGAGGATGAATTCTGCTGGTCTGCATCTGCAACTATGGTTCTGGCAGCCCAGGCTAGATTCACAGTTGACTGGGTGGAGACAACATCTGCTCAATGAAGGGAGTATACATTCTGTAAAGACTAGATGGGCTGAATGAGCATGTCCCATCCCTTTAAAATGCCCTATGTGGTTGTTCCTTCAGCCAACAAAGCAAATGAACTATACAGAGCTAGAGCTGCTATTCCATAGTAATGCTTTTTTGTTTTCCTTTACCCCCTCCTTTCCAGCTCTTCTCATGAGGAGACTCCTGGCTCTCACCCTCTGTATGGACATGGAGAGTGCAAGTGGCCTGGTTGTGAAACCCTCTGTGAGGACTTGGGACAGTTTGTCAAGTAGGTGACTTATGTGCAAGGTATATTCATGCTGCTGTGTTCTTTGGCCCAACCTGTACTTAATAGTTCTTCCTGTGTTTTCTCACACCATAGACCAGGCTTCCTCAGCCTCAGTCCTCCAGATGGTGGTCCTGCTAGCTAGGGATTATGGGAGTTGTAGGCCAAAAACATTGGGAGGGCCTGCCATAGAACTCAAAAAGGAAAAGTCCTTCTGTTTAACTGTTTTTAATGATGTGCAGTAAAGCCCAAAGGTCAGTCTGTTGCTTTTTGGCCCTGGGGATGGTTTCCTCAGATTCTAGAGATATTTTCCCTCCAAATTAGTTATTAGTGAGCTTTGATACTTCAGAAAATATAATTTATGTCTGTAGAACAGGTACCTGGTAGCTTTTGATAGTCTAGAAGCACCACCATGCCAGCCCCCTAGAGCCATTCTAGCATCACTACTTTTAGAAAAATTGAGTACAGTACTTCTGCATCAGTTTTTCCTTCTGTGAAATGGAGCTAGACCCCTCTAGGCTTCTTCTCCGAAACAGAGCTATATCACTGTCATAGACCTTTGGTAAGAACCGGGAAGTTTTTAAAGGCCGCCAGGCACTGTGGGGTATATAGGAAGAGTGGGAGAGACTCTGCTAGAGAGAAAGAGGCTGACTGGGACCTACCGTAATGACAAGGCTTTTGGAGGAGAGAGGAGACAGACCACTAAAGATTATAGCTCGCCCATGTTAGGAAGAAGAAAAGGGGGGCGGGTGGGGAGAACTAGAGAGAAACAGATGGCAGCGCGGCAGCCTGCTGACACCGCTTGTGGGCTCTGTCACTGACTGATTAACTCCGCTGTCTAAGAGCCCTCTGCTAGCGTCAGGGTCAAACAAATTGTTTTCACGCTTCGTCAGAGGTTTACTTAATTAGTTCATTTGCAATTAGATCTCTTTGTAGCCAAGATTTTTAGCAAAGACATCAGATGAAACTGACGGGTTTTCTTTTCTTGCTTGTTCGGGTTCCCCCCTCCCCCCAATGCCTTTCTTGCTACACATGCTTCCCACCCCGTCCACATACGCACATGCCGCTCCTCATTCTCGGCCCCCTCCACCTCCCACCCCACTGCCTCCGAACAGAATGTTGTGAAGGTTGAAAATGACGTTTGGGAGGGCTGGAGACGGTCAGAAGCACAGCCTGTATGCCTGATCTGTGTGTGTATGTGTTCTGTGAAATGAACATTTTAGAAAAAGTTGCCACCCCACCCCCACCCTGGCCTTCAGCTACCGAAGGATCACAGTTAACGAGCCAACAGGTGCCAACTGCAACAGACTTAAGGCAGATGGGAAGGGAACTCGCATACTCCTTCAAAGCCTAACTTAGCCTTTTTCATGTGGCCAGGAGGAGGCCAAAAGGGAGAATTGATTCCACCTGTGCTACCATATGCAACTGACTGGTCCGAAAGGAGCCTCCTAACATTAGACAGCCATATCCTGCTTCCCCTAACTGGGAAGTCTTGACACAGCTTAAAATAGTAAGGAAACATTGCATGGAATGTTGTTCAATAGCGAAACTAAGGCTCTTAGAGTAAAATGAATTTAGTTCCCTGCACTACCTTTAGTTCATTGGCTGACATTAAGAAAGCTTACATTCATTCGCCTGTTAACGGTACAAGCTTTGAAATGGAATATAAAGTCCAGGCCTGTTTCGGTTTTGTTAAATTTTGTATGGCAAAAGGCTATGCTGCTTCAGTTAGGGACCGGAGCTTGGCAGCAGATGGAGGGTGGCTTATTGAGGCAAAGTTGTGAACCTACAGTGAAGAGGCTCTTGGAATTCATAAAAGAAAATGCATTTTCTGTCCATATAATTCATCTCTCCTGAATGAAGAAAAATCTCTGGAAAATTGGTAGACTTACGAGTGTTGAGCTCTTTTTCCAACTGATTTGTAAGCGTGTCACTTTGCCTTTCTGTGGTTCAGGATCTCCAACTGACTCTTTGGTTGACTTGTCTCTTCAGACTCTAGGGCAGCCTTCTCTAACTAGATGTCCTCTATGTCTTCTAGATCTTTTGGACTGTGACTTATCTCTGACCATTATCCATGCTGGTTGGGGCGGATGGGACTAGTGTCCAAAACATCTGTAGGGAATCAAGTTGGAGATGACTGCTGTAGATCATGTAACTTGCTGTGTATATATGTACAGGGTGAGTCTTTTAAAAGAGGCCTCGTGGAACATGTGTACTCTGTATCCACCGGGCCTCTTTTAAAGGACTCACCCTGTATATATGTAGCACCAGTGTGGTACAGCAGACAAGGTGGTAGACTTAAATCAGAAAACCTTTGGCTCAAATCCCCACACAGCAGTGATGCTGACTAGGGGGGAATTCAGCCTTGCACTCTTTCAGTCGTTCCGTCTGTGCAAGCATTTCAGCTTGCCAGTTGGAATGATTCCCCATCTCCTCCCCCCATGTGCTGTTCTAGGGGATCTCCTCCTGCCCTGAGCCATTTTCAGGGGGGAGAGGGGGAAGTCCTTGAACTGATGGGCCTGGTTAGGTACATTTCACCCTAGGTCATTGTCTATGCGCAAGTCACTCTTTCTCAGGCTAGCCTCCCTCACAGCATTATTATGATGCTAAAATTGAATAACCTGTTGATGAACAGGATAAAAATGAGATAGATAAGATAGCAGACATGTTGCATAGCACAGCCAGCATATTAAAGAATCTTAATAAAGGGGTAAACTTTGTCAAGGGAGTTCTGGTTGTCCAGAACTATGTTAATTCTTCTTCTTCTTTAAAAAAAATGTTTTCTGTTTTTAGACACCTCAATACAGAACATGCACTTGATGACCGGAGCACAGCTCAGTGTCGAGTTCAAATGCAAGTGGTACAGCAGCTGGAAATACAGGTGAGTGTAAATGTATGCAGTGAACCTTGTATTCAAGCCAAAATCCTTGAACACAACAAAGTCAGTAAGCTGTTTAATTTGGGATCTTGTGTACCTAAGGAATGGGTTTTGGAGTTTGTTTGTTTTTTACATTGGTTTAAGGCTTCCTTCACCTTTTTGGCTCTAAGGATCCAGGTCCTTTATCAGGATTGGCCTCATGGGCCAAATTTGACAGGTAAGCAGGGTTGCCCATCTGTTAAGCACATGATGTCATTATGACCATCGCATGATTGACATACAGGCTGTCAGATCTACCTGGCAAAATCCCTTGTGGGGCTCCCAAGTGTCCCCTGATGCTATGAAAAGCCCAGAAAAGAATGCAGGCTCCGCTCCACTCCCTAGCTTCAAGTTGCCTTAGCCATTGCAACCTTAGGATCAGAGGCAGGTCATGAATGTCTATAGTATTCATTACTCCTGTCTTCTGTTATGCTCATAGGCATCTATTTCTGCCCATCAGAGTGGTGGAGAGGGCCTCAGACATATGAGTCAATCATAAACGGCTCCAGCAGTTCCTGCTGAAATTTACAGAAATTGTAAAAATTGGACGCACAGCCTTTCTTCCATAACCTAGGACTTTATTCTGTGATCACAGAGCTGAACAACTTGCAGGAATGTCACCAAAGGAGTTCTTGGCTTTATGAGACTGGGACTGGACTTAGAGGAGATATGTGATTGCTTCTAAAAGCAGAAGCCGTGCATCACCTGCTGCTGCTGGGAACATCCAGTAATACAAAACATCTGATGTGATGTCACTGTGCTTTGAGTTTCCTCACCCCCCCATTACAACTGATGAAGAGGAGGAGCTGGGAAACTTGAGGCATGGTGGCATCACACCACGTGCTTTGTATTAATGGATGCTACCAGGGGTGAGAGGAAGTAATGCACTGCTGCTGAGCTGAGTGGAAGCCAAATTCCTCCTGTAACATTTAGTTTGGAGCTGAGAGAAATTGTAAACACAAGGAGGAGGCAACATTGGTAAATTAGAAGAGTATGGAATTTGCATATAGGCAATACCTATAAATGTTTGCATAGGGTGCAGGAACAGGTAAAGCAGCATGTAATCTGTGATAAATGATTATTGCATAGGATGGAATATAAATGGGGAATGGCATTTGGTTTCCCATTCCTTACTTCCAGCTCGTTTTCGGAAACAGCCAGCACTGATGCTTGCTTGATGGACTCTGAAGGGAATGGGCAGGGGGTTCTTTTTATCCATGTTGCTAGATTGTATATATGCGAAGCAGTACAGGGATGAAAGGAGCAGCATTCTCTGGAACATGAATCTCCACAGCAGCAGGATTAGTGGCAGAGGAAGGAGTGCCAAGGAGCGAGGCAGCTATAACACAAAGCGCAAGTAGTCTCTGTTGGAAGCTAAACTAAGTCAGTAGTTGCAGATGGGGTGCCTCGAAGAGAATGCAGCAGACATGCAAAAAGAGGAGAGAAAAGGAAGGAGTGCAACACTCAAAGAGCAGAGTTAAGATTGTTACACAGCCTGAGTCAAACCGTGTGATTCTACCCTGTTCCCAAGCACTCTCTAAAGCAAAAGGTTGAAAGCAATTACTAGCGCTTAAAGATGGGAATGTGGGGGAGAGAATCCTTGAAGAGAGCAGAAAGCTCCATGCGTGAAAAGAAGAAGCTGCCACCAGAGTTCCCAATTATAAAGTTTTCACTACAGAGCTCCTGCTGTGTCGGCAGCAAGAGTGTCTACATCACGAGAGTGGATCTGTCAGCTCTAATGAGAGCCACGACAGTGCCAGAGCGTCCTTGCGTCAGAGTCTCTCAAACTTCCAGCAAACTCCACTCTGGCTGCTTCCTTTAACTCCTGCCTCACTGGCCCTCTCTCTCTCTTTTTAGTTTTGGGGATGGTTTCAAGACCTGGTGGGAGGGGAGAGAAATGCCCTCTCTGGGTGTGTCCTAGATTCTTCATAGGGGCCCATCAGGTCAGGAGGAACTGAGGCAAAGTTTGAGGGGAGCACTCAGAAAGGGAAGGTGACACAAAGGGAGATGGTGTCAGATCCCATTGCTTCTGCAGCACTCAAACTCTCTCCCTGTGCCACAGCGAATATTTCACCCTTCTCCGCACACTGAGAAATAAACACACACCCCAGGAGCATGCAATTAAAGCAATGTTGCACATCTGGAGAGATGGATGGGCAGGTGAGTGGGTGGGTTGAAAAAGGCATGGTGGGAGTGATAGATGGATGAGAGGAAGTAGTGTAGAGAGGGAAGAGATTAGAAACATGAGCAAGTGATGAGGTGAGGGAAAACGGTAGAAGCAAAGGATGTTGAGAGGAGGTGACTAATATGATAGAGTGCCAAAAGGAAAGATGGTAGAAGTGATCTAGCAGCTTCACATGGGGCAGGAGGATCCTAATGCCTGGGATAGGGAGAGAGGCCATCCCATTTAATACCATGGTGGATGAAAAGGACGAGAACTGGGTGAAAACGCAGTGAATGAAATGGAGGGGGGTTTCATAATGTGAGGTTCCATTTTTCAGCAGCTTTTTCTGCCTCTGCTCACCCACATCTGATTCCTTTACATCAAGGTCACTGGCACTCCTATGTTACTGCACAGTGGATGTACCAGAGTATCAAAAAACCACCGCACATCCTGATCTTGATATCCAATAGGAAAAGGCAGCTCTTTAGAGGCTTGGAAATGTGATACTCCAACCAGATTCATGGCTCTCAGGAGTATTCAGTGTTACTAGGGAATTAGGGAAGCTGGCAGCTTTTCTCTTCCAGGAGTGCTCTATGAAGGCAGCACAGCACAGCAAGAGCTAAAGGGAACAGCCCAGTGCTGTCACATTACTGCATGTAGGAAGTATTAGTCAAAAGAAGAGAATGGCATGTTCACACCGATGTTGAATGGAGCAAGCAAAACGAGGTGTCGGTGATCCCTGCTGATGTAGAGGGAACCATTCAAGGGCATGATTATTGATGGAACACTTAACTGGACCACCTTTCTAAATATGTTGGCCAAGTGAATTGACCACTAATGGGAAAAAGCTTCCTCAAAACAAATGACTTCTTGTTTGGTTTTCTTTGCAGCTAGCTAAGGAGAGTGAGCGTCTCCAGGCGATGATGGCCCACCTCCATATGAGACCTTCAGAGCCAAAGCCGTTCAGTCAGCCTGTAAGCAATGCTCAGCTTGTTCCTCACCTTTACGCTCTAACTTTCTTTTCTAATAGGGATTGCCACCTCAAGCCTCAGGCCCATATTGTCGTGCCAGAGTCACTCAGGGCTGAAGCAACCCTGGCTGTGACAACATTTCTAGGCTCACAGTAACAGGAACTATTTCCTACGAGTTCCTTTGAGCCACAAGGCTCCTCCTAGTAGATGGCATGATGGTGTGAGGAAGCCAAGGTACACCTACGCTCTATTGAAACTCCTAAACTGATGATTACCAGTTTTCCACCCTTGTGGAATCCTCCCTTTTACTACCACCCAAACATTGTTTACTTGAGCTTCACTTTCCACAGTCACAGCCATAGAGGGTCATGTAATATCATAATGCCTGCCAGATACTGCCCATGAACCACCAGGTAGCTATCCCTTCTTTATAATAACAATACTCTTCCTCTATCTGTTTCTCCAAGTCCTCTTTTACACTCTGCACTTGCATTTCTCCATGGCATTTCACAGAGCCATAACTCAAATATAGGCTGAGTAATCTCATAGAGAGGAACCTGTCCTCTTGGACTCTGTGAATTGTCATGCATGTTATTATTTTATTATTTATTACATTTATATACCACCCTTCATCTGAAGATCTCAGCGTGGTTCACAACATACATGCATACTGACGGTGCTATAGAAATACAAACAACCATAGGTACCTGTGCTGGCCCTTTCTGCAGGCAGGTAGTATCACTTGTTCTCACAACATCAAGCCAGACTGAGACAACCTCCCAGAGGCAATAGCTCACAGAGCATGCCCAGATAGCCCAAGCTGCTATTGTACGCAAGGAGTGAAGCAAGGGGATTGGGATAAGACAGGCTGTGCCCAGGCCATCCTTGCATTCACATTGCGCAGTTTAGAAAGCCAGCTGTGTAGAAAGACCACACTACTTGTGTCAGTCCTTCAAACTGTGTAGACATAGGCTGAAAAGTGCTGTTTGGAAGTGCTGAAACAGCACACCAAATTCTGAAATCAAAGCTGATACAAACATACCCTAGTGTCCTCTACCCTGCAGGGTGTGTTACTGGCTCATTCCTGACCTATAGCCTCCTGTGCTGTCTTATTGGCCATTCTAAGGTGTTTGAGACACATCTATCTCAGGAAAAGCAGCTGGTGACATCTATGCTCTCTTGAGGTTCTAGTTCACATCTGTGCATGTGAGACCCTCTTGGAAGAACTTGCATCAATGACAAAAATATGTGTTTCCCCTCTGTGGTTTCTGAAAGTCCCTCCTGTTCATGAGAAGGGAGGTGGCCATGGTTACAGTTTTGAGGAAGGAAGAGAGAGAAAGTACATGCATATCACTGAATTACATTCCGAACCCCAAGAGCTCACTGACATCTGCAGTGCTTCAATATATGGTTGTATAAGATGACCTGATTTTTTTTTACTCATGAAATGATTGCAATCCTCTTTTTTGGCAAGGGATGAAATTTTGCATGGATGCTGTTGATCTTCAAAAGATAATGTTTATCTGTCAGTGTTAGAATATGACTATAGATAATGGTACTGATGAACTACTGGGAATTCTGCTGTATCCTGGGACAGCATTGCTCCAATTTGCTAATGAGACACTTGTGGCAATGCCACAGTGTTTTTAAAATGAAATCCACAACTACCTGATCACCTTCATGAAATGAGCAGATAATTAATTTCCCCCCAAGTTAAGCTGCAGTTTAGACAATCTCATTGGAAGTGGTGTAGCATAGTAGCTAAGAGTGCACACTTTCAGCCAGGAAGCCCTTAGCTCAAATCTTGCCTAAGCCATGAGCTCACTAACGGTCCCCACCTGTGCATGCTTGCTTGCTTCTAAATAAATATTCATAGACTTGGACCATGTTTGGATTTTTGCAAGCCACTATCTTGTAATTTCAGCCCCCGTCTCTACCCGGTGGTAGAGTGTGCTAGCTGTAACTGAAACTGTTCCTCCTAAAGTTTGGCTTCCCGTTTGCTTTGAAAAAAACTGCTACGGACAAGAATTATGGATTAGTTTTTTATTAAAAAAACTGAGCAAGGGAGGAATACTTTATATTGTACTAGATGGTCATCTGGTTCTTTCACGTTTCTAACAACTGGCTTTGATGTAGCTAGTAAAGAGTTTTAGGTTTCATTCACGTTTGCAGAGTATGATCTGATTTCTCATCTACATCTAGCCCTTCCATTGTAGTTGATGAGTCTCAAGTTCTTATCTGAGGTGCCTGTTTCAGTCTTTGATGCTGAATTGATTAGTAGACCCTCAGTGGTGTGCCTCTGCCTTTCACCCAACCTCTATATCTTCATTGATAGAAGTTGAACAGCCATGTGCTATGTCCATATAGAAAACTGTTGCTTACTGAGACACCTCTCTGTCTCCTGGGTTGATTCTAATAATAGTTTGTCATCCTCTTTGAGCAGCTGAACCTGGTTTCCAGCGCCACCCTCTCCAAGAGCACTTCTGATACCTTCCCTGATGGATTACCTCATCCCCCCACCTCTGCTACTGCACCCATTACTCCATTGCGGCAGGGCCCTTCTGTCATCAGCTCATCCACTTTACACAATGTAGGGCCTATTCGCAGGAGGAACTCAGACAAGTTCTGCACGCCAATCTCCTCAGGTGAGAGCAGCTGGGGAAACTGCAGCTGCAACTTTATGTTTGGGTTGAATTGTGTGTTTCTTAGACTGAATTGTGTGCTACTTTTCTTCATAACTTTCTTTCTTCCCCCTAGAACTTGCGCAGAATCATGAGTTTTACAAAAATGCAGATGTCCGCCCCCCCTTCACATACGCCTCGCTTATCCGGCAGGTGAGAAATTCCTTAGTTTGGAGAAATGTACAAGTGTGCCAGAAAGGCCTGGAACAGGCAGCAGTTGTTCACACTCACCTTGAATGCTGCTTGTGACAAGTGGCTCAGGTTGCTAATGGTACATTCTAGACATCGCCTTCTTATGCTGCCTTTGGAAATGGAATTTGAGTCAGTGGCTGGGGTGTAAATCTGGCAATTGGGAAACCTGGATTCATTGTGGTCTTGAGCTATTGTGTTTTTTTCACCCAACCATGCCTTTCACAGTTAACACTAGACATTCTAGCACTGCAGGTAAATGGATAGGCACATAATTCTCTCTGTAGTTTGTTTTCTGTAGAAGTCAAAGGCCTAGAGACTAAGACTTTAGGCTATATCTACAGCCATCACTGCTGTATCTTGTGACCTCAGTGCCTCTTTGTCCTTTACATGATCATTATTTCCTCAAGAGTTCAAAGCAGCTTAGTTCTATTACAGTGTCTCTGACTTGGTGCTTTTCTGGTCCCCTGGGTGAAAGATACATTAGCTACAAATGGAGTGTGAGAATGGGGAGTTTTCAAGCAACAGAAATGGCAGTGATGGCTTCAACTTGAAACAATAAGATTTTGCCACCCCACTGTTTTCAGGGATTTTATAAACTTGCCCAACAAGGTGTTTTTGAAGTCATTACTACAGAATCACCTTGTGGTTAATAACTCAAATCTCCATTTTAAATGAGATGGTTGGGGGGTTTTTTTTGACCAATACCATTTCCTGAATATTAGCCTTTGTGAGGAGAAAAATAGAATCTGCATGTATCAGTGCTATTTCATGGGTTGTTGGCTGCCACACTTGATATTTGAATTATTTGCACCCTGCCTCATGCATGTAGGAGCAATGTTCACGGTGGGCTTTACAGTGTTTCTGGCTTCCAGGGTATAACATAACTACTAATGTTTCCTGTTGTGTCAGAGTATTAGCAGTAGAGTTTGTCAGGATCAGCCTTAGTGGTCCATAACAACTGAAATCTCTTTTCAGCCTTAGCTTTCAGGCACAGCAGGTGGGACTTTACTGTGTCAGTTTCTTGGATGAACTGCAACCTTCTGTTTCCAGAGCTGCCAACAGCATATCTTTGACAAAGAATAAATTCCCTGGGGAGGATGGCTTCTATTGCTCCCTAGTGGTGCTGTATTGTGTGGGCATTCCCCGCCTTCCAGTTAATTGAAGTAGGCTCTGTAAGTTAGCGTGCAGGCTATGATATTGTTCTGTGGATCTCACCTACACCCTTATTCTCCTTTGGCTAAAAATATGCCTTCATTGTCCATGTAAAAATATACTTTAGAAGAGATGCTAAGATCTGCTTGCTGGCACTGGTCTTTTAAAGCCCTGGCTCCTGGAATTCATTCCTTTTGATTCAGCTCTTTGAGGTTAACTTCCCTGGAGTAGCTGAGATCTAGGAAACTCTTCCAAGAGCAAGCAGTAGTTGGTGTTTTCAGACACAATATCACCTCCATTAACCAGGCCAAAGTGTGGGAATGAGTGCCTTTATGCTTATCTTACCTCCCTCCCTCCTACAGCATCACACACCCTTCTGCATGCAGTGTTTTGTTTAAGAACACTGGATCAGACCAAATGGCTGGGATCAGACAGGTGCTCCTGGAATACTCACCAAATGGGACATGATAGAGCATTATCTGCTGTTTTTTGCTTTCACCATCTAGTAATCAGAAGTTCACTACCTCTACATTTGAATTTTGCTTTTAGCTACCATGGTTAATATTCAACACACATAGTATTTGGCATGCTCAGGTTTTATTAGTGGTGTGTATATGTGATTATTCTTTTTGTAATAAATAATTTTATAGGCTTTGTACAAATTTATTCTTTAACTTCCAAGTTTTTGGCTGTACCATGGCCAATACCCATTGGCATCCCACCCGGGAATTTGTCTGACATTTGGAAAGTTCATTTTAAGGGTTTTTTTAAGCCCTTAAACTGGTTAAGGTGTTGCCTTGTAATCTACCACTTATGAACTTCATTGGATCATGCCAAGATCTAGTCTATGTACCTCCATTATGCTCTCTTTTTTATTCACTAATGGTAACCAGGTATGGCACACCCTCCCCTCATGTGGATGCAAATGGTGCCTGAATTATTCTCTGAGTGAAGTTAGCAAACAGCAGGCCCAACCAGTTATCTGCTTTCAGTTCAGATAAGAATGAAGAGGGGCTGGAGTGGACCAGTTTCAGGCAGAAATTGTTGATCTTGCTCTACAAAACTGGGATCAGGATTCCAATGTTCAAGTCTAGTTCAGTAAGGAATGTTTTGAGTGCATTCTAGCTAATTTGCCCAGAGCAATTCCTGGTTTGCAGCAATGGTTACTGTGCTTCACTCACTAAATTAATTCAACTTTTATGCATTTTGAAAGCGATACTTTAGCACTGATTTTACTTTCCATCCATTGTAACCTGGAGCACTTCTTTCCAATTAACTGTAAGATGGGTAGAGTAGTCGAAATCAATGGTTTGTCTGGGCTAGTACTTACTAGAGCTTCTAATCAGTCAGGTGTACTATATGTGAAATAGGGTGTCACTGCATTTGCATAAGGGTATGTCCTGCTAAATGAAAATATCTCAAGACTATTTTAGCATATTCTTTAGGCAGTAATACTGATCTGCAAAGATATGTCATATCTAAAAATGACCAAGCTTTATGCAGCTGGTCATTCACCTAAGTAGAAAAAGAAACAATTTTCATAGAATCTTGCATATCAGGTCCCAGAATCTGTTTCAGAAGTTTCTTTAAGGCCTTAGAGCCTGTTATTACCCATGACTATGCTTCTCTGCACCTGTAGACTTGACTGAAGTAGCTCTTTGAGCATGCACAGCAGGGGTGGGGAACCATTTTCAGCTTGAGAGCTGAATTTCCTTCTGGGCAACTTTCAAGGTCTGTGATGGCCAGTGGTTGGAAGGGCCTGAGGCAACAGTGGGCAAAGCAGTGAATGTGAATTTTACCTTTGAACAACAGGCTAGTTTCTACACTTCTCTATCTCCAGCCAGATAATAATAATAATAATAATAATAATAATAATAATAATAATAATAATAAAGCATATCTAAAAACTTAATAAAAACATCATGCATTAAAAAGCTCCTGATACAGGACTGCCTTCAGATGTCTTCTAGACAAGCAAAAGTCATTATCGGAGTTCAAAGACGCATTCCCACCAGGCAAAAATACTCAAGGTGGATGTGAAGCAAGGCTAGTGAGAACTGTGGTCTGCGGACGGGTCTGGCTTGGGCACCATTTACATGCACACCCCAGGCCTGAGGTTCTCTGTTCCTCTGCTGCTAAGCTTGCTTCAGTGCATTTAACCTAAGAGGTAGAGCATTCAAATTATGAGAGTAATGCTTCTGCACCTCCTTTTATATTTGAGGATTAGCTATTCAGTCCATAATATATTTCATTCCTGGCTTTTGGGGGGGGGGTCTATAATCTTGGGTAGGTAATTGTTTTGCAACATATCTTGCTTCTCCTGTATCTTTAATAAAGGCTATGTTTGGGCTGATTCACACATTCATACATATCACTCTCAAAGCCTTATCACTCAGTTACTTGAGTCTCAATTCATGAACTGTCTTCACTAAAAATGCATTGTTTTGGAGTAACCTTGTACAGCTATACAGCTATTTTTAGTGTTGGATCTGTGGTAGCTGTTTCATGCATGTTGGTCTCCACCTGATGTTGTATTCCTCAAGTGAGAAACATGGATGTCCTAAATTCAGATCTTTGAAATGTGTAGTTGAAAAGCAGAGCAGCATCTTCTCATATGTCCTCATAATGGTTTGCCTAGTACTGGTGGTAAGAACTTATGGGACTGATGTCTGTGAGTAACTTTTTCTCACCTTTCAATGCAGGCTATCCTTGAGACACCCGACAGGCAGCTAACATTGAATGAAATCTACAATTGGTTCACACGGATGTTTGCCTACTTCAGGAGAAACACAGCTACCTGGAAGGTAAAGCTTAGTCTGGGATTTTAATGCAGCTTTAGTGCCAACTTTTGAGCATGCACAGCAGGGGTGGGGAACCCCTTCTTAAAATACTTCTTAAAATAGAACTGGGTCTCAACTTGGAGGACCTGCTAAATAATTTCATGTCCCAAATGTTTTTGGTGGAAGAGGTTCTTAAATAAGTGGGAGCAGGGAACTCTTATTAAGAACTACATATGGACATGATACTGGTAATCCTGAAGAAGTTAAATAAATTAAGGCATTTACTCTGTCAACATTCTGCTAAAGATTCTGTTCTGGAGTGGTACAACAAGGCCACTTCAGAATAGATATTCTGCATGTTCTTACTTCTTTTTAGAATTGGAGAGGAAGGATTATTCATTAGTTTATGACACCAGGATGCAGATTCATGTTTCAGTTTCCCACTCCATTTAGTGCTTGGATACTATGGTAAAGGCAGCATCCACAAAGAAATATGCACTGCCTTTTGTAATACACTCTATGTACCTAAGGATGGATTCAGATGAAAGAGGTGGCTAAAACAAAGTGTGAGTGACTTGCACGTTCTACTTTCCCTCCTTTTGACTTATTTCTCCTATACCTGTAGTGAGATGTGTAAGTTCCCCATATCTTTGGGAACTTGCCACTGGCAAGGTAGGCAGCTCCCTTCCTTGGATATGACTTGAAGGGCAGGGGGAAGAAGCTGAATGAGTCATTCTTATCTCCTTCACACACACCCATCCTTTTTTTGTGCTGCTTTCAGTAATTGTGATGTGACTGTGAGACTGTCAGGGAAAGGAGCTGGGACCAATGGATGCAAACCTTCTGAAAGCAGGGAGTACTAGTAGCGAGGAATATCTAACGTCCCTCCATCTCCATTGCTTTCTAACTAGGCCCTGTGGTTGTAGCTCGCTCTGGTGAGAGAGCTGTGGGTACTCGGCACAATTGACAAATTGATAATTTAGCTTAAAATGTGTCAAACTGCCTGGGTGGTAAAACAAGCCAGGGAACTATATTCCTTCTCTTAGAAGAATCTGTTTCAGCCCTCTGAGGTGGAGGCAGTGATGTGTGGGTGGGTGACAACAGCATGTGACCAATCTGTTCCGTTATAAGGCTGCAGAAATAGGTCTGTGCTGGCATGCACGTGGCTTGTCTACAGGAAAAGCAGAAGGGGAGTTAGAGATTCTAGAAATAGAAAATAAGGTTAATGATAACCCGGGGGCTGGTATCTCACTGCATGTGGCAAATAGATGATGCCTTAGCCAAGCTAGCAACGATTCAGGCTGGCTTTTCAGAGCATTGGGATGCAGATGGTCTCCTGATAGGGAAGATTGTGTGTGAGCTGCTAATACTCAACTTTCAACCTTGGGGAAGAAGAACATGAGGAGGCAACTTAATCTTTGTAACAGAAAACAATCTTGCACATGAAAAGGGGCTAACAGAAGCGCCACCCAGTCTCCTGTCTGGTTCAGATTCCCTATGGGCTGTTAGCTGTCAGTTGGTGTTTCTGTCTTCCCATCTGTAAAATGGCACAACAAGAAGGGGCCGGTTTCCTCTGTTACATTAACATATATGTAATATTGCAGTAGGCCCATGATCCTAACTGAGGTCTTGATTACTGCTATAATCATAATCTTGATTTGTCTGTCTCTGTCGCTCTCCTTTTCACCGTAATGTATAACTCTCTAGGCAGTTGCCAGTCCATCACTGTAAAGGCATTGTGTGGGAAACAATGGGGAAGGGTCATAGCTTAGTAGTAGAGCATATGCTTTGCATAGAGAAAGTCTCAGATTCAGTACTTTTGAGGTAGGGATGAGAGAGCCTTTCAGAAACCTTTCAGAGAGCCTTTCACAAACCACTGCCAGCTAGTGAAGTCCATACTGAGCAAGGTGGACCAATAGCCTCACTTGTATAAAGGAGCTTCTTCTTTCAATATTTCTAAACCAGACAATGAGCGCACCTCCCCTACTGTGTACTGGAGGCACAGGCTCTGGATATGCAGGTGCCGGTGCTTGCTCTTGGAATCAAGTCCAGCTCCCTTTGCTTGTATTTTTTTCCTGAAGAATTCAATTTTAGCAAAAGTGTACATCCTTAAAATGTGTCTGTGCCCGTGTGTGCTTTCATCATGAGAAGATGGTCCTGATGTTTGTCCTAATTCAAAGCTTGGCCTGTTAGTGTCCACTCTCTCTGAATACACTGATCCATTCCTTGCTCATGTGTTCAGTGAGATCTGGAAAGCAGAAGAAGTAATTCCAGAAGAGATACAAAAGTGAGGGAGGGCGAGAGGGAGGATAGAAGGACTATCTCCAGAGTAGAGGGGGGGGTGTTGTGTTCCTGCAGCTGGGCATCTCTGCCTTTCAGCTGGAGGCCTGATAAGATTCTGTCTTCCAGACATGACATAATTCTGCCAGTGTCACATGCAAGCCCTGATACAATCACTCCCTCAGACGGGAAGCCAGAGTCATTGTGTACCCGTCAAACTCTTGATAACGACCAAGCAGAGCTTGCTGCCCATTAAGCAAACACAAGTCTGAGACTAGCAAGTTATTTTCTGTGAGTGAAAAGGGGGCTATGGCATCAACCATGTAGGAAGTGAGTGAACTTATTTGGATCAATTCATAGAGAAGTGCTGAAAATTCTAAGTCACCTATAAACATCATTGGGGAAGGGTAGCTGTATGTGGTAGTGCATGTGCTTTTCAGTGAAGAAGTTCCAAGTTCATGGAATCTTCAGTGAAGAGTTACCAGGGAGCAGGGCAAGAAAATGCCTCTTCCTCCATTTCTGTTGTGTTGCTTCCGAAGGGAGACTACACCAGGCTAAAGTATGATGGCTTTGTCCATTGTTGCCTGTGACTGTTCCTGACTACATAGCAGCCTATACCCTAGCTTCTGGGGAACAAACTCGGAGAAAAATTATTTATTTGCTTGCTTGCTTGCTTACTATATTTATGTAGCCACCCCTAACAGGCATTTTCTAGGTGGCTCATAAAGAAAAGAAAATGCAATATTCAAGTACAACATAAAACAAATTAAATTATTTTCAAAAATTGAAACTATTAAAAACAAATTTAAACCTCAAATTTAAAACAGAGAGATCAAAACAATGAAGTTTTAAAGACCTGGAAAGATATTCAGCTGCCACCGAAAAGCCCATAAAGATGGCATCAGGTGCACCTGTCCAGGATGGCTATTCTATAACTGGGGTGCTGCTACTGAAAAGACCCTGTCCTGAATACTTGAAAGCAATGCTTTTCTGTCATCCTTCATCTGCTTAATTTGTGAGGCCTTGGCATGTCTGCAAAACTGGCAAACAGGCTGGTTTCAGAAAACAAATATTAAAGCCTCGGGCAAAGGGGAAAGAAGTCAAAACTCTTTTTTGTTGCTGCCTTTTCTTTTCTCGTACTGCCTGAACAAGGAAGAAGAAACAGAAGGAAGGTCCTTTGTGCAGCTTGTTGGCTATCTTTCCCTATATATACAAACATACATGTACAAATGTGACACACACCAACAGGCATATAAACAAATGATACCAAGATCTGGGCTTGAATCTAAGGACAAAACTACTAGGAAGAGACTACTTATTAAGGGCTGAGTGCCTACTTAAGCATGATAAACATGCTAGGTGCTTAGTGTTTCGCACATTTACGTAGATGTTGGTTTTTGCTTTTCTTTGGTGTGCTTTTCAATGCATCTAATCCCTGAAAGCCACAAAGCAGCTGTGGTGCCCATGGCTGACGTCCCACATTATGGCACCCTGGAGAAATTGTGCAGTTGCTCTGGAAGTTGGCATATCCTCACAGAGGAAAGATGTCAAACTTGCACACAACCTGGTACCTTTATTTGTTCTCGTCCATTTTCCTCCATTTTGTGAGTTTGTGCTAAAATATTGAATTAGATGCATGTGGAGTTCCTATGGCTTTGGTGGTCCAGTTCTCCTCGATGTATTGCCATTCCAGTTCTTCTTGCTTAGTTAGGAAGTCCTTGTGGGTGGATGCTTTCCCATGGATGCACAACTCAAAGCACACTGAGAACCACTGTTACATTTTAGCAGTGCAAGAGGGTTGCATTGGACGTCCACTGTAGCAAAACCTTGTTGTTGTAATCCTAACCTATTAGTATTCTCTTTAAGACGTTCATACATTCCACCCTCATGCATTGATGGGGGGAGCTGGGCTGTGACCACCAGCCACAGGTTTGGCCATCATGTAAAGTGGTCCTATAAACATAAAGCATCTCCATGCATGAGGGGCGATCCTGATTCACCCAGGATCTCAGCTTAAGTGGAGGCGCTCTGTGCGCACAGGCTGATGCATTCATAGGACTACTTTACGCATGGGTAGAACATGTGGTGTGAGCCAGCAGCAGGGTCACTGGCCCAATCCTCCTCTCTGTGAATATGTGAAGGGTGAGCTATATGAGCCCTGCTTTTGTTAACCCACTTTTTCTCTATATAGACTATAGTGCACACATTCGCCTCTCTGCATCGTTGTCATTGATAGCCCTGCCTGTTTTCCGTTCCCCTCTCTGTGGTGGTCTGCAGCCCTTTCTGTCGTTACTGTCCTCTCTTTTACTCAACCCAGAGTTTTCTCTGTTCCCCATCTCAGCCATTTTTCCTCTCTGCACCCCACAGCATATGCTTGCTTGCTCACTCTCTCTTCTCACTGCACAGCAGCAGGTGTCCCTGTTCCCTCCAACGGTTATGCCCCTTTTTGTTTCTGTCTCCTTTCCACAGGTCTCCTGACACACGGATCTGTTACTTCCCTTTCTCTGTTTCCGCTGCTATTGGTCTCACTTCACCACTATCTCTAGTACCCTCTTTTTGCACCCTTTCTAGCACAATCCTATAGATGTCTACTCAGAAGTAAATCCCACAGAGTTCAATAGGGCTTACTCCTAGGCAAGGGAGTATAGGTTTGCAGACTGTCCCTTTATACACTCTCTTTCTACCCCCACCCTTATCTCTTCTTCTGCCTTGCTAAACTCAGCAAGAATACCTAAGGCATTCAT